TTTTTCACATCGCAAATGGCTGCATTTTTCAGCGCTTTATGCACATCCCCGGACATCCTAAAGACTTCTGGCGCTATTTCAGCTACACATTACTGCATTCTGATCTCATACACCTGCTACTGAACGTGTCACTACAGGCAAGTATTTCAAATAACCCAGAGCTCATCGGCATTCACTAGTTAAAACCAACGTACTTGTACAGCCCTCGGATAGCTAAAAGTACTAATAACATAATAATTTTTACAATTACATGAACACTTGTACATACATACATACATATCTAAAACTAAGCGAACTATGAAGCTTCTCTGTTTATTTATTTTCTCCTAAACAAAGTTGGAAAATATTCGCAACGCTTTCCCATTCTTCTATTCTTTGTTTACAGTGCATGATTGGCTTTTGTTTGGAAAGTGAGCAGGGCCACTGGCAGGTAGCCGTGATTTATTTTGCTGGTGGAATTTCCGGCTCGTTGGCCACCGCATATACTCAGCCAGAACTATCGTTGCTGGGCGCGTCGGCTAGTGTTTATGCCCTGCTAGCGAGTCATGTGCCACATATGGCGAAGGTGAGTTCAACGCCTCGCACCTTACTAATGTATTCATGTACTTTATATGACACTTACAAAAATGATTTAGGTGTAACTTCACTTACAAATTACATACATATATTCTATTTGTAGTTGGCAAATTATATACTATAAACATACATCATTTTCATATTTTTCTTTATCAGAACTTCTATCGATTGCCACATCGTTATCTGCGCATTGCAGCTTTGTTGATTTTGTGCGTCAGCGATGCTGGGTTCACCTGTTTCCACAATCTGGTCAACAATAACATGAGCCCTCGTATTTGCGTGGAGGCACATATTGCTGGAGCTATGACTGGACTTTGTTTTGGGTTTTTGCTCTACAGCGGTGCCAAATGTCGAGGTTATTGTACCGACTGCCGTTTGCCAAATATATGCTTGGTATAAATAAGTTATATGTTTTATAAGACATCGTAACTGTAATGTTTGTAAATCAATATATAAGTATAGCTATATATTTATGTATGTTCATATGTACCAGTATTCACGAATTTTAGTGATGCGTGTATTTTAAGCCCTCATTAGTATTCTATGCCAATAAAACGGGGCGCAAAAGTGTGTAAAAACCAGAGAGCTGCATGGATACACTCAAATTGCATCTTAAGTCACTCGCTTTCTTTTCACATCTGCACACATTCGCACTCGTTTATTTCCAAACATAACGTGCGATAGCATTGAAAAAACATTGTCAATTGAGTGAGTAATTCACACTATCAAGTGCTCGATTCAAATAACAAATGCTTGATTTGAAAAGCAAGTGCATGGCATAACTGCTGTAATGCAAGTATCAAATTAAAACAATTTGTAAAAACAATTTTTGTTAATTTTATTTGTTTTCTAACTGCATACTATAATGAAAAAATATCAACAGATTAAGGGCATCATCATTTGCCAAAAGGTGGCATCTTTTGTCAGAAATAACATTTCCAGCAGAAGGAGTGGCTATTACTCTGCGACTGAGTTTATTTAGCAGCGGCATTTCGCATTTGTGTACCTCCCACCAATTATCTAATTATATCGAAGTCCGTATGAAAATATACCTCAGTATTTTCATATCGCCGCAGCTCTGCAGTAGCTTTATCGGTTCTGCTCACAAAGGTAGGTTGTTTAAGAAGACCTGAAAACAGCTCAAGGTTGTCTGAAGGTAACAAAGGTGTATCCGTAATTTGTGGTTCCGTTGTACTGTCAGAATTCTCAGTTAACGTTCTCATAATTTGTAAATATTTCTCTTTTGTGTGCCTTTGCTCGGATTCGGTAAAGTTATTGAGTTCTTTTGCTGGCGGGTATAAAAAGGCGCAATTTTGTGCAAATCTGTTAAGTTTTCAACAGCAACTGTTTTTAAATAATAAAGCAACTTATTTTTCAAGTCTCTTATAAAGCCGATGTCTTCTGAGGTAACATTGCATTTCCTTTGTAGACTAGTTATATAAATGTACGTCAGGTGCATAACTAAATAATTTAGTAAAACGAATATATTTAAAAAAATACTTCATCAATATCCATTCTCTACTAATTGTTTGAAGTCAATGAGTGTCATTCGATTGCTCGACTTGCTGTGCATAACAGCATTTTTCACTCGCTTGACTTGATTTGGAAAGAGTATATCAATGCCATATTTGAAATCAAATAAGTACACTGCAGCTAAACATTGATTTCAAACCTAACTATGAAACTCACTGTTTGTACGGTGTTTCTCAGTACCCTTATACAGCTCACAGCACTGAGTTCATACTATTTAGATGGAAGTGAGTAAACTCATGCTGTTGTCTGGTAAAAACCAATCAATTAACTTGCATGATCTCGGTTCCGATATTAAATAATCAATAATTGTTTATACCCGCATTTTGGCACATTAGCTTCAATGTGCCATCTAATAAATAGTTTCGTCGCACTCCTTAGCTTTTTTTAAACGATGTCGTCACAAATTGCTGGCTGAGACATGAATACAGTGTAAGAAAATTCCTTTTCTATAATTGTTTCCTTATAGAAAGGTTGGTTTCTTTCTCCACCTTAGACATTCTTTCAGTGTTCCTCCGGGGTTCCTCGGGGTTTAATTTAATAGTGTTCGCTTTATTTTTGTGGTAACGAAACTTGTTCTGCAAGTTCTGGATCATTTCTACACTCTTTCTTCAAATATTTCTCGTATTCCAGATGCGTTTTGTGTTTGGTTTTTCGCATCGTGTTTTTACTATATTCGTATTTTAAATTTTTTAATAAAATCAATTGGTGGTAGTTCAAGATTGTTTGTGGATTAATAGCATCACACTGAGGATTTGGCAATAACCTTTTTCATTTATTAAAAACAAGACTTACGGGGCAATGTTTACAGTAAGAAAAAATTTTTTTTCTATGAATCGACATAATTTAAGCATTATTGACGCTATTTCCATTTGAATGAGGAAATATCGCCAATGACTTTATTTCCAAATCTTTGTTGACTTTATTTCGCTTTTGAAAAGGTAATAATGTCAATTGACTTTATTTCGCACCAGTGTGTCAAAATTGACGTAGGTGCCGATACGTGAATGCGCTGAATCCGGCATCTCCGTTCATCTCCAGAGTCGTTCGCTCGGCTTCCATATCCTTCTTAGGAAAGGCGCACAAAACGTAGTGCGTGTTGAGGCCGATCTTTTTAATATAAAATACCAGAACGAAGCATTGCTGAAGCCCTTCTCCTGCATGAGAAAAAAGAAATCGTTTGAAATCTCAAAAAAAAATTAATAATAATTAACTGTTTGCCATTAGGAGGCGGCCTAAATTGCAGATGCCTTCAACGCTAAGACTGACAGACGCAAAACACAACTTGAAGGGAAAGCTAGGCCAAATACGCAGAAAATGTTTAAGCGTCAACAAATTTTTGTTAGTTCCGCGGGGAAACCTAATTCAATTGATAAATAGACGCTCTTCTCATAGCATTTTCCAAAACTTAGCCTATGACCAATACTTCGTTGGTCGTAGATTTACCAGGTCTAACGCCAAACTGATAAGGTCCAAACAGTTCGTTGAGGGTGGTTCTTTATCTTTCACGCAATACGCGGTAATTGTCGCATATGCTAATCGCACCTTCGTCGTCATCAACTGGGGCTTGGTCTCTTCTTCTTCACTGCTTTTAGAACTGGTTTAAGTATTGAAGCATGTCTGGGAAATTGGACAGTTTTTTGTCGTGGTTATTCTTTCAAGACTTCGCCGTGGTCTAGAAATCTTTCGGTAGTTTTATAACTTTCTGAAAAAATTGTCTGGCGTTCCTCTTTTTATTATTATTAGATTGGCGCTTACACATATGTTAGTGTTTGGCCGAGCTTCTCCTCCGATTTGTGGCGTACGCCTTGATGTTGTCACATAAAGCGGTGGGACTTACAATTTTACGCCGACTCCGAACGGCGATTGTATTTTTATGAGAAGCTGTTTTTCATGGCAGAAATACACTCGGAGGTTTGCCATTACCTGCCGAGGGTTGACCACTGTTATGAAAAAACCTTTTTTCTATATTTTTTGCGATGTTGCTTTGACCTGCTTACCACTACCCCGCAGCAGCCGCCTTATCACTAATTATTTCCAGCTTTTCGCACTGACTTATTTCGTACTCTGAAAAAATTTGCATCGCTCGGCGCCCTGTAGGCAGGCCCGTCGATAGAGAGGGGGAAAGGGGTGGAACTAGAGATGGGCACTGGCCTAAATTTTCAGGCCCGGCCCGGAACGAGTGCAAAATCAACTTTCAAAAACACGCACAAGCCCGCACGTTAAGAATTTTAGTGGGGCCCGGCCCGGCCCGGCCCGGCACGACGGGACACGCCCCAGCCCGGAAATAAAGAGCCAACTCTTATTGTATGTATACATATGTACATATTTTTATACCCGAGCGCACTTGTGCACAAGGGTATATTAATTTTGTTCACATAACGGTTGTTTGTAACAGCCAAACGGAATCGAGATAGATATAGACAAATGTATACATAAATGCTCAGAATGAACAGAGAAATCGATTAAGCCATGTCTGTCTGTCCGTCCGTCTGTCCGTATGTCCGTCCGTCCGTGTACACCATAACTCGAGCAAAAATTGAGATATCTCAACAAAATTTGGTATGTAGGTTTCTGTTAATCCAAGGTAGGTTGGTATTGAAAATGGGCGAAATCGGACTGTAACCACGCCCACTGAATATAATTCACTCAAAATTGATATTTACAATAATTTTCAGACGAAAAATAAGAATATTATAAATTTTTGGAAAATGGGCGTAGCCACGCCCACTTATGGTTACATGTGTATATCTTGGTAACCGCTGCACCAATTTCTTCCAAACTTGGCACAGTTGTTGGTCTTGATATATTCTGGCCCATACCCGCGGGCTTTCGCAGGCCCCTGCCAAAAGCCCGGCCCGTGCCCATCTCCAGGTGGAACCCTTCTGCCCCGGGCTTTTTAAGGGGCCCGAAATTTTAGAACCACAATTTATAATTTTTTTTTACAACGTAATTTCTTCTGCGTTATAGGCTTTTATTATAAATACATATCGACGGCTGAGTGGAAGATCGACCTATCTCGGCAGCCAGTTCGAAAACGCCCTATCTCAGAAAACTTTTCAAGAACGCCCTACTTCAGAATTTTATTGAAAAACAATCGTATTTCAGAATTTTATTGAAAAACACGGTATCTCTGAATTTTGTTGAAGAACGCCCTATCTCAGAGCTCGGTTCAAAACGCCCTATCTCAAACGAAAATACATTGAAATTAAGCTGAGATAGGGCGTTATTCAACCCAATTCTCAGGTAAGGTGTTTTCCAATCAAATTCTGAAGTAGGGCGTTCTTGAAAAGTTTTCTAAGATAAAGCGTTGTTTAAAAATTTTCTGAGATGGGGCGTTTTCGAACTGGCTGCCGAGATAGGTCGATCTTCCACTCAGCCATCGATATATTCCGTGCTGATTGTTTCTGACTCTATAAATTATAGAAAATGATAATATTCTTTGTAATTAATACAATTTAATTATCCATATACCGTGATTTTTTAGTCCTGCCTGTAGGCGGCACCTCCAGTTGAAGAAAATAGTACTAAAAATGTAAGAAGTATTTGTGGTATTTATTTATATTTATTTCTTTGCAGATCCTGCGATTACTCTAAATCATCTAAGACTACGCTTAACTCTAACTAAACGTCATAAATATATTTGATTTACAACTTAAATACGCAAAATTTAATATTAAAGTGAAATACTCTTTAAAATAGGATTCGCTCTTCCCGCTTTCCATTGATTAATGCAAAACTTAACGCTTTAATCCTTCTCTCTTAAGCAACACTAAAGCTAAGAATAGAACACCATCGTGACGCACGGCGCATGGAATACGAAAACAATTCCCTCGCCCTAAGCATGCGCGGCTAAACTTAATCAATCTTACTTCTTTCGGTCGTACTACATAGTACATACACTACTCCCGCCTACAAAAATAATTAACAGTCCAATTGACCACACTTGACGCCCACCTCAGTGCATTTGCACTCCAAACAAGGACTGGATAGCTCCAATATAATACGACCGACCCGGTACATGCGCCCGTAGATATTACAGCCAGCCAACTTGAGCACGCCCGCCGAGTCAATTAGATTGTTGGATGCACTCTGTTGCATCTCAAGCGGCGTTGACGCTGCAGGCGCATCTAACGACTGTGGCGCCGCTGAAATAATTTGTTCGATGTTTCGTTGCACCAGCGGTACACTGGTAGGCGCCGCTGTTGGCGGCATTGTGTTGCTGCCGCTACTGCTGGGAGCTAGTGTGCTGTGGGGAAAACTTTCGCGTGCCGGCTCAAGTCCCTCGAACTGATTGAGTGAGTTTTTGTAATGCAGCAAGCCTAGGAAGTCGCCATCAGCATGTTGGCCAACGACAAATGTACGTTCGGTGGTGCGCTTCACTTCGAAGCTGGTGTCCATGAAGGGCAGCGTATCGAAAGGTGAACGCAGCAAAGGCTTCGGTTTTGGTTGGGTTGTGGTTGTTGTTGTGGGATGACGCATGGTTGTTGTGATGTTTGCGCGCTTTTGGATTGACGTCGTGGCTATATTTGAAGCTTTAGTGGTCTGTCGCCGTGACGAACTTAATTTGGGCCGAGTACTTTTTGGTCGCGTTGTCGATGCTATTCTTGTTGCAACAGATGTGGCTGCAGCTGTATTATTTCTATGCAACACGGGCGACTTCGTTCTAGTCTTTGTTCTTGTGGTGGAGACAGTTGAAGCGGCGGCAATAGATACATTCGCATTTAATTTAAAGGGCGCGGCAGACACTGTGTCCGGGGAGCTTAAATTAATGGTAGTAGAGTTGGGCTTTGCGGTTGTTTTTTGTAAGTGTTTTGACGGAGCAGCGGTTGCTGTTGTAGGCATTGTGACTGTGAATGTGCTCGTAATGTTTGGTATTAGCTCAACCGCTGCTTGCGGCAATGTTTTAAATGGTGGAACAGTACTGATGCTTATGGCCGCATTATCGGCTGGGAAAGGTGAAGACAATACTTCCTCGCCACCCAGCAGTAAGTCTAAGAAAGACGCAATGGTATTCTTGTGTTCTTCGGTGGGCAGTTTGGAACTATTCCTCATTGCGTGCTCCACATTTGCTGCCAGGAACGGCACACTAGGTGGATGGGCATCATTTGCGGCATTCGCAAACTGCGGTGCTGCTGTCGTAATATGTATCAGCGATTGACTCAGATTCTCTGGATCTTTATACAATTTCATAGGCTGTTGTAGTGGATTTTGTAGCAATATGTTGGCCTTATCTTCTATAAGAGAAGTCAAATCGGGTGGCGGCTCAGTTCTTATGACATCCTTAAATGGATCAGGCGTGGTTATTTCTGCGATACAAATAAGTATAAAGTAAAATTTAAATAATAAATAAACCACTTAAGTAATTATATTTGCATCTTCATATACTAAGGTACTTACCAATTACTTTCGTTGTGTTCTCTCTGGCCGGATCACTTGTAGTTATATCAATCAGATGTTTCGTTACTTGGTAGCCACCGTCAACGTAGGGCAGCGCACCACCTTGCTCTTCATCATCATTCAGCACGAGTGGATTCTTGGGCACAAAACCGCCTTCAGTTTTTGTGGGTGGTGAAAAGCCTTTATGTTCCACGTTTGCTCCAACAAAATCGTACTTCACGAAGGAAGCTGCTGCACTGCTTGAGCCATCCAACTTACCTGCAGTTGACGACATTACTGGTGGCAGTGGTCCTTCCACGTTGAATTTGTAGATGTACTCAGCTTTGCTACCATCCTCGATTTCCGGATAAATGGGGAAATGTGGCTCCGTGATGGCTGGATACCTATTCCCTTCATCATATTGATCGTAATCGATTTTGGCTGTCGGAGCATTACTGTGGTAGTAATCGTAGGGAGGCTTATTTCTATCAGCTTTAACGGCATCAGTGGGTAGGAAGGGAATAATTTTCAGATTTGGTAGACTGGGTGGCAATGTTGGTTCGGCGTTGGCATCAAAAGGGTCTGCCTCTAAGATAGTTGGATTTGTTTTGATCTCCACTGGTTTAGGTGTAGTGCTAGGGGGAATAATAGTAGTGCTTCCACCGGTCGTTGTTGTTGTCGTCGTCGTTGTTGTTGTTCTAGTGGTGGAGCTTGGTTTGGGCGTTGTCGTGGTTGTCGTTATCGTTAAAGTTTTAGCGGTAGTGGCATTTGTATTGTCCACAGATTTTGGCTCCTTGGTGGTTGTAGGTGTTCTACTAGTCGTCACCGATATCGGTACTTTGATGCCTTGCGCCGGTAATGGTTTGAAAGCTGATAAATTTGGTGCAACACTTGATTTTTTTATTACTTCAGGCGTCACGGTAAGATTCGCGATCTTCGAATTGATGCGCGTATGTATAGGTTTGCCCGTAGGCAGCGGTTTGAATGAAGGCATTGGCTTTGATTCAGAACTCGGTACTGCTATCGGCACCTTTAATGGTTTCGGTGTTGTGCTTGTAGTATTAACATTTGTTTTTGCGGGAGTTTTAACTTGTGTGCCATTTAAGACTTTTTCCGCGCTGAGCATGTCTGTGAGGCCATCCAAAAGTGCAGTCAGTAGACCGTTTTTCTTCTTTTCCGGCGGAGCTCTCGTTGCTACCTGCGTCGTGTTGTGTGGTCGGGCAGTGGTGGTTTTGTGAAGTTTTTCGTTGGGTTTGTATGTGGATTTAGGTACAAACTTCAGCTCGATTGGCTTGCGGGTGGGCTTTGGCGTAGATGCGGTTGTGCTTTGAGTGGTTTTTGTACTAGGCCTTGTGGTGGCTTTCGAGCTCGGACTATTTGTTGTTCTACCGGTTGTTGTTGTCCGCAAAGGAGTCACAGTCGTTTGCGGCTTTTTTGTTGTCGCGATCGTTATTTTTGCGGTAGTGCTCAATTCTGTCTGTTGAACTTCTCTTAAAGCTTGATCGTTTTTGAAGTCATTATTTTCCAAATTATTGCTTAATTCCTGCTTGCGTGAGACCACTTGAGCCTTACCTTCAGTGCTATTTTTGTTTCGTAAAAGATCTTCGGCAAGTGGATTCTCGAACGATTCACTCGATTGCGGGTCGCCCACAATAATTTCTCCATTACCTGAAAAATCCTCAAAGTCGTGATCAATACGATCAATACTGGGCATAGTGGACTCTGGAAGATAGCTCGTTGTTGTACCTATTCTCTCCCCAGTTGTTGTTTTCACTGATTTCTTCTCGTTTTCATCTGGGCCTAGCAAAATATCCACCCAAGATAGGCCTTCATAAGCCGTAGTTGTTTTCAACTCGGGCGGAACTTCCTCAGTCACTTTTGATGGTGTCTCGTCATCAGTGCCCAATAATAGATCTAGTAAACTCACTTCCGTAGGCTTCTTTTCCGCTGTAGATGCTTGCGTACTTATCTCAGGTTCAGTAAATACTTTCGTCAAAGGCGCCGCCAATTTGTCTATATTCTCTGCAATGACTTCATCATTATTTCCATCGATGATTTCCAAACCCTCGCGTATAGTGTCCAAAATGCTCTTCTCATCGTTCTTCTCCAATATATTTTGATTATGTGCCACTGTAACTGACGGGTGCCTGTCCGGTGGATACTCAACCGGTATTCTGTTTGTGCTATTCGCCTCATCCTCTTTGCCGAAGAGCAATGAGAATAAGTTGAATTGACGTGAGCTTTGTGCGCGCTGACTGCCACAATCGTAACTGGATGGACAACACTGCCCCTTCGGGACCACCGGTATGCAATTCTTCAACGCTGTCGAGCACTTCTTTGGCGCACAACGGCGCGTACCACGTATGCAGAAGCAAATGTCACACGGTTTGTCAGGATCTGAGCGCATTTTCTGTCCTTCCACGTAGAACTGTTTATCCACTGTACAGCCGCGATTGCGCTGCAGTCGCTGCGACATGCGAAGGTAATGCTTGTTTGACGTCTTGCGGTAGCGTACCTCTTGTGACGATTTGCCAGACGGCTTGCTGGTGCAATCATAGCGCACCGGACAGCAAGTGGAATCGACAAATATGGGTTTGCAGCCTTCAACGGGTAACATGCATTTCGGTTTGACGCATTTCTCAGTGCCACCTGAAATGAAAAGTAGGAAAATAAAAAGAAGAAGTGTTTGATGTAATCGAAGGAGACAGCAACGAGAAATTGAATGCCTTTTAAATGGTCGCAATCATCGCACTTACCAATGCAGTAACAGTAGGTACATAGATTGGACGATGACATTGCTGAACCGGATTTGTAGACGGTGCCGTTCTTAACGCAAACTGTAAAAAAGGAATTGTAGAGAAGAGGAAGTAGATTGTATTACATAACATATAAAAGTAAGCAAATTGCAACAGTGAAACTTTTTCCAAAAAAAAAGTGAATTAAGTGATCTTAGTTGTATTGTATATATTATACAAATCGTAAATATGGATGACTCTGACACCTTCGTAGAGCTGTGTTCATTTTAAAGTAGAACGGAGAATCTATTCTACTTCTTGAGAAAATACAATTAGGGTTCTTATACTGAATTTCTATAGAGCATTGAAATGAGCAAAAATTTCTATCGCTAAAAAAGGTCACGTGTGTCTCCAATTTTGATGGTGATATAAGTTTTTTCATACCCTGCCGGCGTAAATGATCGCTTAATTGTATCTTAATGCATCTGAAAATCGTTTTATTAGCTTAAAGTAATGGCAAAGCTGCCTACCTTTAGCTGATGCAATTGAAAAAATAACAGACACGAGTTATGAAACGACTTGAATTAATTTTGTAATGGCTGTATAAACGAACTTTATTTCTTCAATGACAAAAGGTATATTTTCATATTAAACTTTCTCATTCTATCACTATCAGTTTCGGATACCGATTTCGAAACAATAAAGTGATTGACAGAGTAAAATGTTTGCATAAATTGCCTCCGTTTTTTGGGTATGCTTTTCAAATTAATGTAATAAATGTCATTTAATATGTATATCGACGGCTGAGTGGAAGATTATCGATATATCGATAGCCGGTTCAAAAACTACCTATCTCAGCAAAACTTTTCAAAAACGCCCTCTTTCAAATTTTTTTTGAAGAATGCCCTATCTCAAGATTTTATTGAAGAATGTCATATTTCAACATATTTTTAATATATTCTCAGTTGAGATAGGGCGTTTTTGGACAAACTTCTGGAGTAGGGCGTTCGTGAAAAGTTTTCTTAGATAGGGAGTTTTCTAACCGGCTGCCGAGATTGTTCAATCTTCCACTCACCCGTCGATATCCACCGCTTTGTTCGTTGAGCTGTTGAAGTTTCTCGGAGAGCTTAAAGATTTTCTGTTCGTGAAAGTACTTGTCTCTATTAGTGAACAACTGAAAAAGGTATGTAGTAATTGACCGCCGCATCTGAATGTAACATTATACCATCGAAGGAGTTTCGAAGAGGGCGAAACAAGTGGAACTACTTATGTATGCCGGCGCAGTTGAGTATGCTGGGAGTGACAACATATAGGTGGTCGCCAAAGTTGGATGTGCTTTCGCGTTGGCGCAATTTGTGTTCCCTTCTTTGCAATTGACAAGCTCTAAATATATCTCGATCATAGATTTGTTGGTATTGCTCAATTTCCAAGCCTTTTGCTTTTGTATCGCCTAACGTGGGTTTGACTTGGTAAGGTTCTTAATTTTTCGTCATCCACCTCGTTAATTCTTCTTGGACGAGGAGCACTTTTGATATCAATGTTACTATCGTGGGATCTCTTGAATCAGTTTTGGCACTGTCATTTCTTTAAAGCAACATCTCTGTAATTTTTTGGCATATTAAAATATGGCGAAAATGTACTGTTTGGTTTTCCATTTTAAATTCGTTGTAAAGTCTCCAAAACTCAACCTAAATGCTTAGCTTTTAAGAAGTAATCCTAAATGGTAAGCTACTAAATGACAAACGACTAAAATGCATATGTATGTATGTATGTATGTATGTATACGTAAATGACTCCAGTGCACCCAAAACTGAACTGACAACAACTGCCAATTCAAGGGAATATTTAAGAGGTTTGAAAGTTCTAAGCGTTTTTTTGTTTTCAATGAGTGTTCCTTGCTCAAATTAGTAAACGTCAGAGCTAACTGAAACTCTTTTACTTTTATTATAAAATACATACTCAGCATGGTCGACCTTTTTTGTCCTGAAATTCTCAGCGCCATTTACTAGCAATAATTTCTAACGAGTTTTGCGGTTGTCTACCAGAACAATCGCCGTTTTGTGTCTATTTTGACATACATATGTATGTATGTATCCAAATAAAAAAAAGTAAGTGCGCCTGGGCCACAGTGGAGAAGTGAAACTTACGTTACTTATTTATTTTGTCTCATAACCAATGTATACATACACACATCTGCTTTTGCTTAAGGTTATTTTATAATATTCATGTTATTCTGTTTTTCCATTATCTTCATTTTTATCTCTATACTCTATCGATAACAAAATCGATAATAACGTCCAACAAAATATCGATAACAAAACCGATAGAAATATCGATAACAAATTCGAAAAAATTTCCATAGCAACATCGATAGTACCACTGGTAGCAAAATCGATAAAAAGATCAATAAAAGAATCGATAATTATCGATAACAAAATCGATAAATATTGATAACAAAAGCTATAAATATCTATAACAAAATCGATAAATATCGATAACAAAATCGGTAAATATCTACGAAAATATCGCTAAATGTCGGCAACAAAATCGATAAATATCGATAACAAAGTCGACAAATATCGATAACAAAATTGATAAATATCGGTAACAAAATCTATAAAAATATCGATAACAAAACCTATAAAAATATCGATTATTTTATCGATAAGTCTCGAGAAACCCGAAAATTTATAAAATTCCAAAATAGTTCCCAGATTGAGTCTCCGTGTCTCTCTCTATATCCTTTCCTTTATAATTACCTTTATTTTAATCTTTCTTCCACTATCTTGGTTTTTACTTTTATCGGTATCCTCATCCTCATCTTTGTTTTTACTTTTATGTTTATAATTTTCTTTATCCAAATATAACCCTTCACCTCTGCCCTTGTATATACATATATGTAAGTAAAGTGTTTAAATTTACCTTGGTCTTCATTTTTGCCTTTATCTTTACGCAACTTTGATTTTGTTTTTATTTTTACCTTTGCCATTATACTTTTCTTTATCTATGTACGTAGTCACCTTTACTTTCATTCTTGTATTGGCCTCTTTCTAAGTGTTATTCTTTAACCTTTTATTAGCAAATTTTTGTTAAACTAATACCATATGCATATACACTTGTTTCAACCCCAACCATTTCCGTTGCACCATTTCCGTTGCATAATTTCCGTGTGCAATTTCCGTTGAATTTGCCAATTAACTCCCAACCAACCAACCGCCGCTAAAGAAGTTTCACTTCAAAACTTTTTTTTAATATGACTACATTGACTTTTCTAATGAAGAACACCGATCAAAATTAGTCTTAAAGGTACTATTAACAGGTCTATGCTGCGCTGGTAACAACAATTTTGCAACCAGTAACAGTGTTTATCATAACTATACGACATCCACATATTAAAGTCAGAAGACTAATTATTATATTTTCATAACTTTGATTATTTTTTTTTATAGAAAATTTAGTTCATTGTATAACAAATTATTTTTTTTTACGGTGTTGTGCCTTTTCCTACATACATGCATATGTATAAAAACATTGTCGAAGAAAATGAGTGACACAGATAACAAAACAAATTACCAAAAATCAATGATATTTTGTAGCCACTTCAAAGTATGTACGTAAGTACATTTATCTTCAGTATTTACTCACCATACATATCCACCTCAGAATCGTCGGAGCGCCGCTGCAGCATATTATCATTAACGACGCGATCAATGGACTCCCGTTCGTAGTGATCCAAGTAAGCGATTATGTGACGCGTTGCCGGTATCTTGTAGAATGCATCGAGACGCGCACACGACAGATACGGACAACAGGCGTTCCGCTGTTGCACCACAATGCAGCCTCTAGGCGGTGGCATTGGCATTTCGGGACATACCTTCAGTCTGCAGACGAGCGTCTTCTTCTGGCACTGGCATGTGAGACACTTCTCCACGGTGGGCACGAGCGATCTGTCTGCATACCAAGTACCATTATGGTGACAGCCTGCAACGGAGTGATCAGACAAAATACCAAAAAGTAAAGAAAACGAGATTAGCAAACCGGTTGAATGGTTGTAAAGTTAGCGTGCGCAACATAACTGAGTGTCTGTATGTGTGTTTGTGCATGTGAGTGGCAAATTAAAAAGTGACAATGAAAATGCAAGTTAGCGCCTCCAAATGGGCAGCCAACACGAGCCACTGTCATTGCCATGGGCATGTGTAGTCGCAGATAAGCGTAGACTGACACTCCAAGTTGGACTGTAATTATCGCGCGAGCATAAATGACTTGTTTACATTGTAAACGGAAGGCTGGAGGGGAACTGTGGAGGAGTGGCATTAAGTTGAATACAAGAAATGTTTGCAGTAATGGCACAAGTTTATTTTTAGTACGCTGGTGTTGGAAGCATATGTGTAATTTAATTGCCAGCGAAATTGTAATTTAAGTTTTGTTTTACACAACATTTCCTTGTTGCTGTCTTAGGTTTTGTTACACTTTTAATGGGCAAGCGCACGTGAATAAGATTTTATCACGCTTGATACTCATAATTTCGTAATTTCGACTTTTTGTACTTTTTTAACATATACTTTCAACTGATTTTTGTTAGTACAAACCTAATTTTTACGTGGAATTGGTAATTTATAAGTTTTTTCTCCTCTGAATTTTACTTTCTGCTAGAAGTTTTCAAGAATATTGTTTGAAATTCGTTCCATAATACATAATATTGTTTGACTTTCTTTAAACTCATTGAAGTAACAATTTGAGTACGTATTTAGCCTGCGGGAAATGTATATATTTAACAATAAGTTGACTTGAAGTTAATTAGGAAGGAACTAAAGGTCACTATTATCTGTATATTTTTTTTGTGAAAAGCTAGCTATGTATATTTCTATGGCGATAACCGCGAAATAGTCAAGGGTTGTTATCTCTGCATTAAATGTCAACTAACTTGTAACTGACTATTTTTGGACATAAAATATCAATAAGAAAAATTATCTTTTTTTCATTTATAATTTACTTTAGATATTTTATTGCGTTTCATATCTGTTTAAATTTTCTACTGTAAGGTGGTCCCATATTCGAACTCCGTCAGACATACCCTATAGTAAAATGTACTAGTTGTAAATTACCTTACAACTACTATGTACCACATGCCCAACTAGTCAGCCAACTAACTTTTTTCCATGCAATCAACTGGTATTTTTAACATGGGGATGTCCTACGTGATGACAACCATCAGATTTCGGTCAGAAATATACCAGTCTCATACTAGTTCAAAATAGACAAAAAAATACTAGTCCAATTATGGATCAAAACCAATACTTTGGGAGTGAATAAATAAAATGAATTCATGAATATACAATGAAAAACGTTTGATTAAGTACACTTTAATATATTACACGTTTTTATTTAGCAGTCCTAGATTTGCCAATATTTAGCGATAAATTTTTTGAGTATTAATTAAAACCAAAAATAAATACATAAATATTTAAAACTTTCGAACATAAATTTAACTGCATTTTTCATTAAATGTTATTAAAAGTAAAAGCTTTCAGGTTCAATAAATACTATATTTTTTAACTTTTTTAATAATATTGAATATGCAAAAGAAAACATTTTAGTAAAAAATAAAATAAATACTTTAGTTCATTTTTGAGTGAACTAAAATAAAAATAAAAGCTTTCATCAAAATAAATTAAATTAATTATCACTGTACATTTCAGTATATTATTTTTAAAATAATTTAATTATTAATTAATTGATTAATTAATTAATTAAATTTAATTGAAATTAATCAAATAATTGTATTAATCGTGTAACTAAAAAAGTCAAAAATAATAGAAAATAATCAAAAATAACAAAATAATCATGCAATTAAAATTAATGAATGAATTAACTTTTTTTTAATTAATTAATTATTAATCATTAAAAAGGTGCTAATATCGGTATTTAATCATTAAACAGTTAACCAAAAAAAAGATACTTTAATTAATAATCATTATGAATATTAATCATTATTTAACAGATCTGTTATAATTCAACGCGTACTCGCTTTAATGGTTTACATTTTTCTTGACTAGTTTGGGGTTTCACTGCAGGGTAACTTCAAAATGATAGTAAAAAATGTCGATCTTCCTTTTATTTGTCTTCAATTCGAAAAAGTATTTGTGAAGTGCAGAAATAAAGTTTAATTAAAGTAAAATTTGTATGAGGATATTTAAGTAGAAACTTGTTCGAAGAAAACAATCTCCCGATTTCGTCCGCATTACTCCTGCATCACTTTTCAACCAGTTCCAAGTTAGCTTTTTGTAGCTAACTACAAGGTGGTTATTTTTTCAATTGCTAATTTTTTTCTGCAGGTTATGTCTGAATCCACATATAGAGCAGTTGTACGTCATTGTACTGGATACCTCGTTTAGAAACAACTTTTCAGGAACGCGCTATTTGAAAATTTGATTGAAGATCGCCCTATTTCAAAATTTGATTGTAGAACGCCCTATTTCAAAATTTGATTGATGAACGCCCTGTTTCAGAATTCGGCTCAAAAATGCCATAACTGAACGGCCGATCAAAAAACTGCAACAAGCATATTTTCAGTTGTTCATGTTTTTGAGCTATATAGCGGATTAGATTTATAAATAATTATTTATTATTGTGGAAAATCGACAAATGCTTAGTTATTACCAATCCGTCAGGGGACGAAATTTTGCCATTTGTCACAAAACCGAAGTAGGTAATCCTTACTACTGAACAGTGGCACATGTCTCTAAGTTATCGTGAATATTGGGATATATTTTCATTTAACTGCTTAGGAATTGTTTTTTATTTCGTATTTTTTCAATAAAATTCTTAATAAATCTTTAGAAAAATTCATAATTTGAAAGCATACAAATTTCCCCTATAATCCGGAATAATTACGTTCCAAGATATGTTATTGCTAAATTACGAAACACAAAGCCTTTAGTTGGCTCTAAAGAAAAATAAGAAATTTTGAGTTGTGTCATTATTGCAAAGGATAAATATGAGTTATTCTTATTGAACATTACCCACCCCATTATTCGTTTAACAAGGAAAGAATGGGGAATTCTTCGTTCAGATAAGGTATAATATCTGAGGTTTTTTTTTACTCCCAAGGTCGTTCATGCAGTTTAACCTTAAAAATGACGTCCAAGATGGGATGGAAGGTTAAAAAAGGCACTTCCTTCAAAGTCAAATAACCTTTGTCGGAAGCGATCTTTGTTGAAACTTACCGCAGTCGTGTAAATTGGGTGAAGGAAGGAAAAAACTATCTTCATACCTTGGGGTTCAAATGGGGTGTAAAATCTGAATGTAAAATATTCCGTTCTTTTTTAATTCGTGATAAAAAATTGGTGTTATCAGTTAAAAACAATGCTGACCTTGAAATAACATCCAAGGTCAGTATTCCTTTTTAAATTTATTTATTTTTCATTTAATAGAAAGAGGCCAGGGCTGGCATAACGTTCAAAAATAATGCCTCGTATGTAGCGCACTCGGTAGTACAATTTGGGATGACGAAAATACTGATGGTTGGTTTCCACACGTTGGCTTTCCAAAAGAGAGGGCTGATACTCTATTTAATATAGCCAACCGTTGCAGGTGAAAGCACCTGATATTTTTTTATTGTTCACTCATTACGAGACTAGGGTGATATAGGTTGCAATCGGTAAAATTATTGTGAGATGCAGGAGGAAAAGGTTCAAAGTTCCTCCCTCTAACTTCGGCAGAGAATTGGCGACCGTGTTTTTCTGGTGAACAAAACCAGCTATGTTTTGGAGGTGTTAACACCCAAATCGTGCTGGTTTTACCAATAAGAGATATCGCTTAAATGTTCCTTCCATTAGCTTGCCTATCGATGGCGGGAATTTGTCTGAGGTAAGTATTACCAATCGTTAGCATAGCATACTTCTAGGATATAAATAAAACATGAATGCGCGATAAGAATTTATGTTTTTATTTATTATCATCGATATTTCGCCTTCAATCTGAATGCACCTTCAGGAATTTTTGGCTTTGCCTGGTCTATTCCTTCTGTTCATAATTGCACTTACTGCTTGATTAAGTGTCATGGTTTTTTTTTTGCACGAATGATGTGATTTATTAAGGCTTTTTCGAAGCACTTGGTGAGAACTGTGATCAAAGAATTTACTGCTCTATATATATCCCCGTTCCACAGTTTACCCTCGATGTTGGTTGATGCCAGTGTGTGGGATGCGCATTTATAAAATTTGCTCAAAACTGATTTCTTTGGATTTTTGTGAGGCTGACAAACTTCTGTTTCAGAATCAGCGGAGAAAAGGGCCTAAGGTAATTCGAAAAGGAACAAGTAAGTGATATCCTTCACCAGCATTATATCAACACCTTCCTCCTTAATCTTTTGCAGAATATCGGCTTATTACCTCTGTTAAATTTGGCTGGGTTAGTAGAACGAATATATTCATAATGCAATCGGCCGGTGTGTTGGTCGGAGTTTTGACTACTTCCATATCAGCAACTAATGGAAAAAATGTTGGTCATTTAGCCACCGTCTAAGTTTACTTTTTACGCGAGATACAACTCACTTCACTCACCCATTTACTGCCTGGTAACATAGGTTTTATTAAAAAAATTTTATTTTTTCCCGAAACGAAAGTTACGGAGGGAAACTGTTTTTAAATGACAAGAATTTCACTTTCCATTATGTAAATTTTATAGTTTTACTTTCTGTACTAATTTAGGCGTATAATACGAATGAAAATCGGCTTACCTTTCCAGTTTTTGTACAATGAATTGTGCTTAATAGGGTTCATCACAATATTTAAGAAGAAAAGCAGTCAACTAAATAAGTCTAGAAAGTAAAATATTTATTTATACAAAAACTACAAACAAAATACCTATTTTTTTTAAGTATGTGATCTAGCACAATCAACAAACTATTAAGTAAGCAAAACACTAAGAAGTCATTACTATTTTAAGAACCAGTTGAGAGATTTTAGTAAGTAAGTACA